AAAAAAAGTGCAAAACGAGAGTGAATCTTCCGCTAGAACATGGAAAGATGCAACGCCTGGAGGCCCCAAGGATGACACGCGTAGGTAGGGAAATCTGATAAGGAAAAAAAAAAAAGAAAAAAAAAAGAAAAGAAACTGTGTTGTATCCTTTAGGGCCTCTGCGTTGTTGTCAGCCCGTGTATCTCGTTGGGCCGCTGTATCCCCGTTGCCAAAAAAAAAAGAAAAGCTCGTGGCGCTGTATCTTTCCATGTTCTAGGGACGATTCACTCTCGTTTTCCACATTTGGATTGTGGAAACTGAGAGTGAATCTTCTGTTAGAACATGGAAAGATACAGCGCCACGAGCTTTTCTTTTTTTCTTCTTGTTTCTTCTTTTTTTTTTGGAAAACGGCCTGGCCCTCCGACGTGGATGACTAGACTGCAGTTAGAAACTCTGCCCTGTGACAGGCACGCGACCTAAGGGTCTGATCCCACCACTACACTACAGCCCAGTTACAGTGTAGTTTTGGGATCCCACAGCGTGTTACACTGTAGTTTCGGGATCCCACCACTACACTACGGTTGTGGAGTTCGCCGAAATATTTTGCACGCATTTCGTGTCAGAATGTCGTGGCAGCACGCCCGCGAAGGGCTCGACCAAAGTTACTACATTTTTTGTGTAGACGGTTTGGGCACAACGGCCGCGAAAAAGAGGGAACATTTTTTTTGTTTTTTTTTTTTTTTCAGTTGTCCGTCCAGCCCGTTAGGAACGTCCGAGGTCCACACGCGTGTGTGACATGTCGTCTGGCGGTACAACGGAAATGTCCGCCCTAAAAATGCAGCCCATGGAAAGTCGCCGCGGGTGCAGGAAAACCACCGAGGAAGTCGGTGTCGTCGGATCCGCTTTCTGTAGCCGGGCCTGTAGCTGACGCTGACACTATTGTAGTGCTTTTTCGTCACTACTTGCGTAGTGTAGTGGTGGGATCAGACCCTAAGGCTTGGATCCCACTGGCCGGCGGCGTGGAAAGGCTTTGGCCACAAAAATCGGCCGACCGTGTTTGGAAAGAAGTTTCCGCGTTTTGTTGGGACCCCACCGCAGCACTGGACTTTCGGGACTGGAAACTCTTTTCCATGCCCGATTAGGAAATACGGCCAGGGTGTTTCCCGAAAAGGCAAGTAGGCCCGGGGATGTGGTCCAGGCCCTTCTGTCGGCATGCACCAGGGCATGTCCGTGTGTGGCCGTGCGCGACCGCGTGTGGCACACGCATACATCACAACGGGGTGGCCTGGTCCGCACGCCGCCGGGGCCCTCCGTGGCCGGAAATGACCGTTGGGAATATCGGCGGGTGTCCCACTCCATCGCCCCCAAACACTCGCCCGCCCCCCTAGTGGCCGTTGGAGAACTCTGTTCCCTGACGTGGTCCTTCCAGAGCGAGCGTGCATGCACGGAACACTGACGGGAAGCCATAGCCGGCGAATGTGGTGGAGGGGTTGCCGAGGAATAGGGGTTGCGGAAGGTGTTGCTATCGTCACGCGTTCCACAGAGGTGGTGTGCAAGGGCCGACGTTGTGTGCAAAACGGTGACATTGTGGCCATGTCTCCATTGGATGTGCCTACTGCGGATGAGGAGTGGGAGGACATGATGTTCATGCTCGTTCTCCTCATGACCCAGTGGGTGAATAGGCGCAACGCTGCGGCCATGGCCATTCTTGAAGCAGTTGCCATCACCCCGTTCATGTTCCGGAATGTGTCGGGGGCGCTGACGATGCTTGCAGGGGGGGTGGTTCACGGCGTGGCCTTGAGCTTCTTCGCAACACAGGAGTTGGGAAGACACATGAACTGTCGGAGAAGGCGGGTGTGGATGCTGGAGCGCAGCGGAGGTCTGTGGAAGGACCTGCAAGGGGTGGGTGCGGAGCACGACAAGGAGTTCGTGCGGTTCTGCAGATTACCAAGACCTCTGTTTTTGCAAGTTCTCCAGCGCATCACCACCCATATCCAGCGCTCACCTACCAGCTTTTGGTTGCCTCTACCGGCCGGACAGAAGTTCGCTTGCGCACTGATCCGATGGGCGACGGGCGGGTACTACCAGCAATCGTCCCACAGTTTGGGTATGGGCCTTGCCAGTGCGGTGAAAAGCAACGAGGACGTCGCAGATGCTATCCTCCACGAGTACGGACACCTGCTCCAATTCCACACAGGAAGGCGTTTGGAAGAGGTCCATAACGCTTTCGAGGCGAAGGGGTTTCCCGGATGTGTGGGGGCCATCGACTGCACACACGTGTACATTGACAAGCCGAAGGGCACGTGGTCAGAGTGCTACTATCATCACACTGGAGACTTCTCTGTCGTCGCCCAGGTGGTGTGTGATAGCGAGTGCAGAATTGTCAGCGTGTATGTCGGTTTCCCTGGTTCCGTGCACGACTCTCGTGTGTTGCGTATGTCACCGTTGTACCACAACACC